GTGCAAGATACAATTTGATGCTTTTATAGAAGGTATGTTTCAGCAGAAAATGATGAAACATACGTACCATCAAGAAGCAGCAGGCTGCGCTCATAAAGGAAGGGAAGTACACCCCTTCACTGCCACTTGGGCAAAGAGGATCCTAGACCCCGAGCAGAGCTCCTCATGATGGCTAGAGGCTAATTTTCATGTTCTCTCTTCTCCACTGGGAAGATTGTGTATTGAAAACTTCTTTGTCAAAGTATATAAAAATAAAGGATTGCTGCATCCTAAAAAATACAAAAATTAACTAAGCCAACTTTCTCATATACCTTTCATAACTAATTATAATTTTGATACTAAAACTCGGTCATATTTGTCAGCTTTGTAGCAGATTATTTAAATCACAGGAGGTGGAACATGATGTTGTATTAGCAGTATGTTTATTATATTTAAAAGAAAGTTTAAAGATCAACACATCAAGAAGACTGATCTGCTCTCAGTAGTTAATAGTAAGAGCTGTAATTGAGGGCATATTCTGTGTAACTATTTTCAGTAGAAATGCCTTTGTTAGAGAATCTACCATACTACTGGCAAAATTTATATTAAAATGGTAATATATTCTCTAAAAATGCTAATTCTACTGTATGTTCAATTATATCATTTATGTTTACAACCTTTTATAAATGCTGTACCAAGATTTGTGTTTGCTTTTAATGAGACTATGCAGTACATTTAGATAGGAACTCACCTACAATGTTGGTAAGAGAGTAACTTGGTAAAACCTGTCAGGAAATTATTTTGGGTGCTAGGTATTAAAGCCCTAAAGCTATTCCTACTTTTGACCTACTAATTCCCCTTGCAATCTAATCTGCAGTTAAAACTTTATGTATAAAGTCATAGTAAAAATTGAAATAACTTTTATGTGCAGAAGGTGAACATAGCTAGCATATTTGATACATCTATGAAGAGCTTTTATTGACATGGAAAGTAATTATAAAAATGAAATCATGAGTCATGTTAAAGGAATAGCAAGTGCATCCATTCTGTAAAAACCATGGGCTATCTGGAATGGGGAATAATTCTTGAAAAGTAGATGGAAAGACATTGCAGTGACCTTGATTTAGTGGACACTTGGAAGGTATGATCTGAGGAGGGGAATGATGAGCTACTTGAGCTGTTTTTTTAGGGAGACGAATCTGACAAGTTACAGGAATGAGTTGGTAGGCTAAAGCCAGAAGCAAAGTGGTAACACTAGTTTGAGCCTAGGCTGTTTGCCCAATATGTCAAGTAGGCTGCATGCAAATAGGTTATGAGAGAAGAATTTCTTCTTTGGGGTATGTTATACTTGCCATTTTCCTTCCCTCTATTCCCCAACTTCATTGTGACATTGCTGGCTGCTACTCACTGAAGAGAGTGTAATGTCTAGGGCCAGTGGTTGGGAGCAATGAATGAGTGTTCATAGCCTGGCATATACCAAAAAGGAAACATCAAATTATATGTGTTTTTTAAAGTCAAAGATATTTTGTACAAGAGTTTCTTATACATATGGATAATATGTTTTTGTTCCCTATCATAACATAGGTATTTTAGCCCCATATTCTGAAGGCAAATAACTGAAAGATTACATTGATTTGGTTTAAGGAAATTAACAAATGTCCCTATTGAAACTAGGTCAAGTTCCTTATTTTAATTTCTAATCTAACATCAGACTCCAGCTGTCAAGCTCTCCCATTAATCCTCTGTCTCAGTGAAATCCTCTCTGAAATACATTGTAATTAATTTGTAGGAATTGACAGCAAAAGGTAGAGAGTTCAGATAATATTTGACTATAAGTTTCCTTTGTGAAAGGGGACAATTAAATCTTCTAGAAGTTGTAAAAAAAAATGCTTGAGAAATAGTATTTTGGCAGAAATTCTTTCCATTGAAAGAAGCAATTGACTCTTGGTAGCAACTGACCCTTGCTAGAAAGAATCTAGCATTTGACCAAAACTGGGTTTCAGCCCCAGTAATCCAGACTGGGCAACCTGATTTTGCTGAAATATTCCATAAGAACTTTTGCTTCAGTCATAAACATTTAAAAGTGACTTCATTGTAATTATCCTTAAACCAGTATGAGTCTCACAAGTGCCACAGGAAAGCCCGTCGTAGCTGGTGATATGCCTGTAGTAAGTATAGGAAGAAGAGTGGGAAGGCTTGATTACAGGCAGAGTAGAAAAGTATTAATATAGAAAATAAAAGCATCTCTTGTTATAGTTTTGTCTGCTTTTGTGAAGTTTAGGTGTCTCTGCAATTGAGGACTGCGTGCAAGATTCCAGGGTAATGTAAATTCAGATTTTGAGAAACAATCACATGCAGGGTGTATCTGTAACTGAATCGAGCGAGTATCTCCTAAATAAACAGCATGGGTGGCTTTTGTCACTGTCCAAGGTACTATAAAACTGGGGCTAAAAAATACACCCCAGCAACTTCCTTTTCCAGCATCTTAAAGAATGTATCCTCTAGAGACTCTCTAAAGGAGAAAGAAAAGAGAATAAGATAACTGTTGAGATGGAAAGTAAAACCCAAGTGCCAGATTACATTGTAAATGTTAAAAACAAACAGTACACCCCCCAAAGCTCCACCTATTTTTACCAATTTCTGATTTCCATTATTTTAAAAATGTGTTTTTTATGGATGGTGGTTTCACTATGTTGCCTAGGCTCCACCTGTTACTTTTTGAACACAAAAGCAATGGAAAATCAAGAACTATGATTAAGAAGGGAGTCCAAAGCACATGATGTGCTGCAGTACCCCTGGGTTGCCATTGAGATTTGAAACAATTCAGATGTGTTTAAGTAAGACTCACCATGAACAAAACCAGCTTGCAGCAAATAATAGTGGGTGACCTGGGTCCTTTAATAATGTATACTATGTGTGTGCTTTTAGCTTTCAGGAAAATAGCACAAACTTCTTTATAAAATGAATCGCTGCTTTTACTTTTCTGTAACCATAAATAAAACATAAGTGAAATCTGTTTCTCAGCATTTCCCTCTTAAAATAGCAGTAGCCAAGCTCCTCAGCATTTATGTTAGATAAACACAATTCTACCAAACACCAAGAGTTTAAACTGTACCCTTTTGATAATTATGATAATGAAATTTAGTGTATGTGATTCTAGTGTAAAATTATGAAAGTCTGCAAGAAAAAATAATGATGTAAATAATGAGAATGCACCGTAAGTGCAATTTTTTTTTTTTTCAGATGAAGTGCTTAGCCTATCCATGTGCTTTCAGTTATCTGGTAGAACAACTAGATCTTCATCTTTCTTTTTTTGAGACAGAGTCTTGCTCTTGTTGCCCAGGCTGGAGTGCAGTGGCGCGACCTTGGCTCACTGCAACCTCCGCCTCCCGGGTTGAAGCGATTCTCCTCCCTTAGCCTCCCAAATAGCTGAGATTACAGGCACCTGCCACCACGCCCGGCTAATTTTTTGTATTTTTAGTAGAGATGGGGTTTCACTGTGTTGGCCAGGCTAGACTCAAATTCCTGACGTCAAGTGATCAAACCACCTCAGCCTCCCAAAGTGCTCGGATTACAGGCATGAGCCACCATGCCTGGCCTCATCTTTTCATTTATATATTCACTGTCACACATACACGAAAACACACACACACACACACACACACACACACACACACACAGACCCTCTGCTACTACCACTTCTGATGTGGTCTAAGGAATACAAAAGAATGCAGGAGGACGCAATTCTCTGTGGAATAAAGCGTTGTTAAAAGCAAGCAGAGGAGGGTGGGGAAAATTAGATGTTGGCCAAAGGGTACAAAATCTCTGGTAGGACGACTAAATTCTGGAGGCCTACTGTGCAGCATGGTGACTATCATTAACAATATTATGTTTTATACTTTGAATTTGCTAAGAGAGTACATCTTGTGATCTTACCACAAACACAAAATGATAACTATGAGAAGTGATGGAAGTATTAACTAACTTGATTATGGTAATCATTTCGTAGTGTATAGTTAGAGCACTTCCTTATGTTGTACACCTTAAATATATACAATTTTTATTTGCCAGTTATACCTCAGGAAAGCTGGGGTGGAGACAATAAGCAGGAATGCTATTAGATATCTCAACCTCACGGAATTCTTGCTGCAACTTCAAAGTTCCTGTTTTACAAAAACTAGTTTCTCTATTAGTAGCCAAAAAGTTAAGAGGGAGAAACAGGAAAGAGGAAAGAACCAAGCCGAGCAAGGTGTCAGATTGCAGATTTGATGAGAGAGAATCAGAAAGGATGTGAGCAGCCTCCACGTGTTACCAGGGTAAGACAAGGCTTTCTTCAGTTTTGAGGGTAGCAGCGTAGACTTAAGATTGGAGGAAGCAGCTGGTGAATCATGAACTTGACCAGAGAGCAGGGTTAGAACGACTCTAAAGAAAGCAGGTAGGCGGTGAACAGGAAATGAATCAGTGCGCAAAAGGGGAGGACGTGGCTCCTCAGAATTTTCCCCAAACTCCTCTGTAGTCAAGTTTATAATTCACCAACTCCCATTAAAAAAAAGTTTATTATATTTTATATTTGTTAGGGATATTGTGTGATCTTGACTTGAACAAATTTTTATTTACCCTTGATTTCCATTTCTTTACATTAAATTGTACATTAGCAATTTGGGCTTCATCCATCTGCTAGTATCCAGCACTGATGTAGCTTTGCTATACAATATATTGAAAATGAAACCAGGCCAGGCTCACACCTGTAATCCCAGCACTTTGGGAGGCAGACACGGGAGGATCACTTGAGCCAGGAGTTTGAGACCAGCCTGGGCAACATGGTGAAACCCCTTCTCTAAAAAAAAAAAAAAAAAACTGGGCATGGTGGCATGCACCTGTTGTCCCAGCTACTCAGGAGGCTGAGGTGGGAGGATCACTTGATCACACCACTGCACTCCAGCCTGGGTGGCAGAATGAGACCTTCAAAGAAAGAAAGAGAGAAAGAAAAGAGAAAGAGAAAGCAAGCAAGCAAGAAAGAAAGCAGGAAGGAAGGAAGGAAAGAAAGGCAGGGAGGGAGGGAAAGAAAGAAAAAAAGGAGAATGAAACCAAAAGTAGAGATAAGCTGATGCCTTAGTCTTGAGAAAAGATGTGTGGATTTAGGATCATGCCTCTTTCTATGACAGGGGCCGTGCAGTGTACAGTTTAAGATAATGCATAATTGATAGTACCCACTGCTCCATGCACTGGGACAGAGAAATTGGCTTGAGCCACTTGTCATATACAAAACCCTTAATTCTCTTTTCTCTCTTCTTGGCATTCAGCTGTTTTTCTGGATGAATTCATCACCATTAGTTTAAAAAAAACAACAACTCTTTTTTCCTAAGGGAAGAGTAGTACATTGTCGCCACACAATGTCCTCTGTTTTTCCCTGCCTTTCTTCTCTACTTGTGGTACCAGTCATTTCCCATCAGCAGGCAGCACTGGCCTGAATGCCTTTGTTGCTCGTAAGTGAGAAGTCACCTCCTTACTTAGAGGGAAGGTAAATGTTGCAGTGGAACATAGTGCAGCCATTCCTAGCTCAGGAGTCTACAGCTTTATGATGGTGTGAAAGGGATATGCGTTCAGTAGAAAACACACTTTGAGTACCCCTACAACAATTGTGTTTTTCATTTTGGGTACAGTATTCAATAAATTACATGAGATATTCAACACTGTATTATAAAATAAGCTGTGTGTTAAATGGTTTTGCCAATTATAGCTTCTTGTCAATGTTCTTAGCACATTTAAGGTAGGCTAGGCTAAGCTATAATATTCAATAGGTTAAGTGTATTAAGTGCTTTTTCAACTTAGGATATTTTTAACTTACAATCGGCTTATCAGCACATAACCCCATTGTAAGTCGAGCAGCATCTGTATAGGAATTAAGAGTCTGTCACTTATCATCTTCAGCAGTTCTTCTGCATCTCAGTTTCTTCATCCGTAAAACTGGTGTCATAAGAGGGTTGTTGTGAGATTAGACCGGTTCATATGTGTAAAAGCCCTTAGAATAATATCTGACACATAATAGATGATCAATAAGTTTCAGCTGCCATCCACAACAAGGAATTATCCAGTCTAAAATGTCAGTAGCAGTACCTTAAGAGAGGAAAAAAGGTATTACCAAGATGGAGAAGCCTTGCCCACAATGTGTTGCCCGTGTCTATATAGGCTACTTTTGAAAATGGAGTAGGTGGGGAGTGGTGATCATACATTCTGATGCTGGGTCTCTGGGGCTGTAGGAGTGATGCTGAGTTGGAACTGGCACTCCACTGGCTCCTCCTAAGGAGTCTGTAGTTCCAAGGGTATTAACAAGGTTAGTTGCCAAGTCCAGTGCACATGCTTGACTCTCACACATCTTAGAAACCATGAGTGGCCAATCTCTATTGGGTCAGATCCAAATTCTCGAAGGGGCTAGTTCAGAGGGGCTTGGAAGGTTTTATTTTCATCCAAAAATTTTTCACAGTGGGCCCACTGCTCACCCAAACTCATTAAGGTAATTGGTTTTAATCAAAGTTTTCTGGTCCCCAAGTCACATGTTTTTCAATGCTGTGAGGGCTAGGCAAGGGTTTAACGTGATCCTTTCTCCTCGGTTCCCACTCTATAACCCTAAACAAAAAGCCCTTTTAAAGATAATTCTAAGTCAAAAGTGTGGCAGACATGTTGAGTTCACAGTTTACAATGCAATATATCACTGACTAAAAAAAGATAAACTCTGAGGACCAATGTTTAATGCATATAGAAATAACTTCTATTACTTTAGCATTTGAATTCACTGTTTCTTCCTCTCCCCTGTGAAATCCTTCGTAATTATTCAAAACTTGCTAAAGCAAGTCAAGTTTTTGGACCTTCTGAACAGGGCAACTAAATGTCATTCCATACACTTTCTCAGTGACTCCGTGTCAGTTCTCAGCAGTGAAGGGAGAACAGAGGTCACTCTGCCTGACTGATTTTAAACGATCACCTTTTTCAGATGCTTTTGGTATGGGAACAAAATCAGCCATAACCTTCAGAGTTTTAAATGTCATTGTTAATGCATCAGAAAACCCAAAGACAGAGAGTCTGGAGAATTGTATGTAACATTTAGATCATTTTGGTAAACAATTAAGTTTTTAGTGTATGTTTAATGTGCATTCTGTTTGGGGCCTCTGAGTTTGAATCCCTGAGACCGAGCTGATGTTTAGCAACCATTTCTTAACCAGGAAATGCCTCCCCTGCTCCCAGCCCATAGCCATTTGAGCTTCACTGGCTTTTTTGAACAGAAGCCTTTCTCAGTTTGTGCTTGGTTCAGTGAACACGGTTACTGTTTAAAAACAGTGGCTGTCGAGTTGTATGTCTCACCACCCTTTGCTCTTCTTCTGAGCTACCTCACGCTGTGTGAGAGATAATACTTGGCATGATTAAACTGCCCCTTCACTGATATTTGGTCTTTGCCTGGCTGAGGACGCAAAGCAAGAAGAGGAAGACATGCAGATATGTTGCAGGATATTCAAGAAAGAAGGATTTTAGCATGGAAGATACTAAACTGGACTGTAAGTTCTTGGGCTCAAAATGTGTTTTGAAAACCTCAATAAGGACATTTAAGAATCAGGCAATCTTTAAATCCATTTTGACAAATTAATACTTGTAACAAGTAGAAATACAAAGTAGGAAATCTTCTAATAGATTTGTTTAATCTTTGTTTTAATATTCTTAGGAAAAGGAATGGGAATTTAAATAAAATGACCTTTGTTATATAAACTATATATTTATACTTCTGTCTTCATGTCCTAGAGCCATATGTTAGTTTCCATGAAAATTAAAGGCAAACCATCATCATTCTCTATTTTCTATATTTCTTTCTTTTTTTTTTTTTTTTTTACAAAAAAACAGTGAGAAGCTGAACAGTAGCAAACTATACAAACGTGCAATTATGCTGCTGTCCAAAAAAAATTTCAGTATATAATTTATTCATAATGTTTTAGCCCTCTTAATATTTGTATCTAGATCAGACCAGGATTTTTGAAAACCGATTGCTTTTCTATTTAGAGAGATGTATTTGGGGAGTGCTGTTGTTTGTTTATTAAGAAGAAAGATCACATTTATCTTGCCTACTTATTGGTTTTTTATTTTGTTTTGTTTTTGATCAGAAACATTATTTGTGCCACCCAGTTATGTCTTTCTTTCCCAGAATCCTTTCATTTTCATGATATGTAAACAGTGAGTCACATGTGGGCTTTACAGAAAAAACTACAGGCATTGGAACCTTATAGACTACTTTTCGAAGATTAATTTTTATTACCTTATTTCCTTTTCTTTAAGTTTCTTTATGTGGGTGTTCTATTAAGTTTAATTTTTAGAATAATAAAGTCACTTTATTCACTAAATTATTTGCCTTTTAAAAATATAAATATTTATTTTCACAGATAATATTTGCAAATTTGTATTATAAAAACACATCTCCTGTATCTGATACAGGAGAGATACATGAGTTATATATAGTTGCCAGTATCCTGCAATTGTTAGAAGATGGGTTAGTGTGAATAAGTGGTTTGCTTTTCGTATTTTATGATTATAAAATATAGAGTCAGGGCAGCATGTTAGAAATATCGAGGGGGTTGGATCTGAATTTTCCTTTTAGCTCTGACATTTATTGGTTGTGTAATTTCAGACAGGTTATTTATATTCTATAAGTGTGTCAATATCATTAAACAATGGAATAATCTCAAATGTTCAGAATTGTATATACGTTGGGGAGAGTAAAAATGCCTTGCCTAATATTTGTTCAACCAGCTGACTTTCCTTTTTTTTTTTTTACCTTTAATGATTCTATTTTATGGAGATGTATCTTTCTTTGCAGAAAGCATGTTTACATATGTTTTTAAGTATTAGAATAAGATGTAGTTGATGCATAAGCACTGGGTTTCATTATCATTTGGATGTGATAAAATAGGTTTGATTCTATAAGGTGAAATAGAGATTACTCAGTAAGGAAATTGGATAAATGCTCAATAGAGAAATTTAAAATTGAGGAGAGAATGTTTTTAAAATCCAGATAACTGGTCAGAAACTCTTAGATAAGCGGCTTGAAAATATTCAATTTCCGTATGCTTGATTTTGGTTCTAGTTTTCCAATTTCCAGCAAAAGTAGAAAACATAGCTTCATGTTTCCATAAATTCAAATTTCAATAAAAACCATACTTTCTTTGGAGTGGTGGTGCAGGGGGAACTGTCCTCTGCATACTTAGCACCCGTGTGCATACTCGACATATGCCAGCTCTGCCACTCATTAATGAGAGTCCACACAGTTGTGGGAGCAGAACTTGTTTTCACCATCAAGCTACTGTGGAATAATGAACAGTAAGTTACACGTGACCCCCCAGAAAAAAATGTGCTCTCTGTCATTGTTTGGCCTGACCTCAGCACTTTTCACTACCTGATGCTTTAATGTTTATTGTCTTTCCTCATGCTAGAATATATCCTCATTGAGGGCAGTGAATGTTTTCTGTTTTGTTCATTGCTGTATACCAAGCACCTAGAACAGTGCCTGGCAACCAGTAGGCAGTTAATTATCAAATTAATGAATCCATCCCTAGTTTTCAATAGGACAGCAAAGTAGGAGAGACCACACCTACTCTCTTTGTAAAAAGACCAAACAAAATGACAAAAAAGGATACAGCTTTATATAAAATCAGGAGTCTCACTGCCATAGAACATGCTAATTGTTTTCATACAGTTGTCCTTCCACCCACAGTTCCAAAATCCTCAGTGCATGCCTGAAATGGTGAATAGCACTGAAGCCTGTATGTACTATGTCTTTTCCTATGCATATACACCTATGACACAGTTTAATTTATAAATTTGGCACAGTAAGAGATTAACAACAGTAGCTAAAGATAAAATAGAACAGTTATAACATAGTATAATAGGAGTTATGTGAATGTGGTCTCTCTTTCTCTTAAAAATATCTTATTGTACTGTACTCACCAATTTTCAGACTGTGGCTGACCACAGGTAATGGAAACCTCAAAAAGTGAAACCATGGATAAGTCTGTCTACTGTAGTTGACAGACCATGGCTGATTTGTTCTAACTTTTGGAAAAGAAAGTCAACATGCAATGTTAATATCTTCTGTTATCATAGATGATTCAAACAATGTTTTGAGCAGAAAAGAAAAAATCAGGAAGTCTTCTTCCTACTAATTAAATTGAGTACTCCAGAAAGATAATTTCATGGTGAAATGCCAGGTCGCAGGCTCAATAACATCTCTCCTTGTCTGAAGCCTGGGTGAGGCCAGAGTTCTGCTCAGCCACCTCGGGAGGGGCAGCCCCTTCCACATACACTATGAAGGTCATGCTGTGTGGCTACCTCAAGCTCCTTTACCAGGAATTTTATGGTTGGCATATTTTTTAGAAGCTGCAAATCGTGTTAAGCAAAGCACTCAAACACTAGCTGTTCTCAAACTTACATTGCCTCTGTACCTTTACCAAGAAGATGGACTATTGTATTTGAAAGTCAAAAAACCAAATTTCAAAACTCAGCTCCAACACTTAATGTTCGTCTGACCACAGCCAAATCCCATTTAACTTCCCTGAGCCTCAGTCTCCTCCTCTTTAAAATCGCCTTAATTTGAGATCAAGTGAGTTATGCACAAGAAAAGGATCTATATCCCATAAAGCAAATTATATAGTGTTACTTGCACATAAACTAAAAAACAATGCAAGTTCTTTCCTTAATAAGATTGTAAGTTTTGACTTTCTAGTCTGTATTTGCCAAAATATCACTAGTTAAAGGGGAAAAACACCCCAGCAAAACAGTGAAAAGACTAAAGTAAATTTTGAAAAAAAAAAAAAAATTATTTGGAAAACACTGTACCATAGTAGTTAGGATAATAGATTTTAAAGTCAAATTGATGTGGATTTTATTCATAATTTAGCCATTTATGTTGACAAATTGCTTCTTTGAGCCTGTTTTCATTTCTATACAGTATGAAGACTTATTTCCTAACATGCGGTCTTTATGCAGTCTCACTGTCTGCAATAAATTTAATGAGACAAGGTATTTAAAGCACTTAATACATTCTGAAACATAATAGATATTCAATAAATGAAAATGGTATTTCTGGTTAATATTTTAATTCTTCATAAATATCATTATGTATATGGTATGCCTTTTAAATGATATGGGACCAAATTCTTAAGATGTATTAATTGAGCACAATTATGTTGCATAAAAATCTGGTGGAAATTTCCTCAAAGAAAACGATTCTTTGATTTCCAGTAACTTTTACTTTTCTGAGCCTTATGATATTTAGAATAAGTCATCTTTGAAACATGCATCAATAAAATTAAAGGATTTCTGTTTTTGTCTCTTTGAGATAGTATCTCACTCTGTCACCCAGGTTGCAGCGCAATGACACGATCTTGACTCACTGCAACCTCTGCCTCCTGGGCTCAAGCAATCCTCCTAACTCAGCCTCCCTAGTAGCTGGGACTACAGGCGTGCACCACCACACCCAGCTAATTTTGTATTTTTAGAAGAGGCACGGTTTCACTGTGTTGCCCAGGCTGGTCTCAAACTCCTGAGCTCAGGTGATCCGCCTGCCTCAGCCTCCTAAAATGCTGGGATTACAGGTTTGAGCCATCATGCCCGGCCTGTAAAATTAAAGTTTTAAATGCTCATCAAAACCTCCTGAGACCTCAAAGTACCTTCAGTTAAATGGAATTTAACGTCCCCTCCACATAGGTATTCACAGGCAAAAGTATACTGGCAGGGGCATATTAAGGATAGAAGTTAGAGATTCTTTTTCTAGGAAATGTGTTGCGCGTGAATCTGCTACACTGTCCAGGCAGAGTTGTTCAAGTTTAAACATAAAAGTCTGCTGTGTATGTTCTAGAAATGAGACAAAAATGAAAGAACTGGCAGAAGCTTAGGAAAGATATGGTGTTGGTAATACATACTGTCACATAACCTAAAAATGCTCAAGTTCTGATATTTGCCATTTATAGTCTAAGATATAAATAATACATTAAAAGCCCCAATCCTTTCTCATAACATTTTACTGAGTCATTCTCTAGTGACTAGTCTCTGACCTGAGATTTTTGTACTGAATTGCAAGCACTGGTATGCCATCTTTTTTTTTTCTTTTTTAAGAGAAAGATCTTACTATGCTGCACAGGCTAGGCTGGAACCCCTGGGCTCAAGTAAGCAGTCCTCTCACCTCAGCCTCCTGAGTAGCTGGGACTACAAGTACATGACACTGTGCCTGGCTTCATATACCATCCTAACAATGTAATTTATTTGTTTTTAATCAGAGCCTCCGGGTGACATAAATAAATATATTTTAAGTGAACTACAAGCCAATTGGTCTTTTAAAACCTAATGTTTTTAAATATGTGAGAATACGGGCTTGAATCATTAGCATATGACTACATATCATAAATAGGAATTTTCCTACTTTTTAATACCTAAGGCAGCTTGTTCACCAAAATCTAAAACTCCTAATAGTGTTTAGAGAGGAAACCCTAAAGCATGTGAGTAAGTTTTACTATATTTCAGTTACATGTGTTGATCTGTAGCTTTCTTCAGAATACCCCAAACAGTCCTTAAAAGCATCAGTATTCTCAGAGGATATTTTTTGCAAGGCGTATTCTAGTTTGAAAGATAATGCCTTAATCCATTTTCTGGATTATAACCCATTAGGTTACATAAATGTGTTTCTAATATCTTATCACAGACAATATAAACTCACATGGCCTGAATCGCAAGTAACATGTGATAAAGGACCAAGGAAAGTAAATGTTAATATTTAAGCTTTCCACTTACTTGATCCAATATTAGCAATGCAAAGTTTCATGATTCTCTTTAACACAACAGTTATAAAATAGTCAAAGATCAACATTTTTATATGTTTTATTAAGCCTTCTTTGAAAATTTGAAATTTGCATTTTTACTTTTCTCATAAATGAAATACACAATTTATGTAAGTATTCAATAATAATGTTTCAGTCATGATCAAGGTAAAACATAAAATCAGGATTTTTGATTGGATTCAAATCAATAAGCAAAAGCTGTTTCCATACATGAATTGTAGCTATATGTAAGTGAGAATTCTCTTAGTTATAAAACATGGCATTTGGAGTTTTCTTAAATACTTCTTAATTATATTCTTGACTGTGTATTTTCTTAAATATTTTTAAAGGTATACAATGGATGTTAGGAATAAGATGGAATACTCTCAATTATGTCAACTGTATAGAGGGTTTTAAACTTTTTCTATAAGTTATACTCTATAACCAATAGCAACTGAGTTGATTGAAATCCTGATATTGGAACTTAAGTGTTCCATATACCTTAGGACATGTATAATGGAAATGTTGTGTTCTCATTGGGTCTAGTGGAGAGCTGTATTTCTCAGGAATTATTAAGTATGCTATGGGTTTAAAGCAGTTAATTTTTTAAAAATCTTCAGATACACTTTGGGTGTTGCTTCACTGTGGTGTTTATTTTGACAGCAACTCCACAGCTACCTCAACCCAAAGGAAGAGTCTAGTCCCAGGATGGCAGATGAGGCTGCATTCTGCAAGTCACAGCCCAGGAAATTGTAAATTTGCTTGTATTGAACAATGGGGGCGTGACAGAGAACCCTTCTAACCTAGAAGAAATCAGTCTTTCCAAATGAAAAACTGCAGGGCAGACTTGTTTCGTTTTGTTTTCTATGATATGTAAACTGTTTTTAGGTGATGAATTAGGAAGATAAACCAATTTCAACTAACAAAAATGTCTGTTTTCCAAGCATCTTTTTATAAACAGTGTTTCATGTTTATAATTAGTAAATGTATTTATTTTAATGATTCAAGTTTAGCATTACAGAAATTTTGGCAAAAACAAAAAAGAAACATCATCTGTAATTTCTTCACCCTAATGCAGCTTTAGCAATTTTCATGTATTCCCTCTCAGCATCAATGTGCATATTAATGATCTAATAATTTTTATTATTGTGAGCAGTTATCCATTGGTACTGCCCTACTTTAAATACTTTTATTTTCGTTGGCTAGAAAACAATCTGTGGAAGGAATAGTCCCCCATTGACTATTACTGCTTTTGATTTTTTACAGTCACATGTGTTACTTTAATGGATGTCTTTAAGTATAAGACTTTTTCCGTATCTTACAACATTTCGTTAAGTTGGTGCCTCAGAAGTGGGATTATGGAGTCAACAATTTTGAACTTTTTCATGACAATTGATAAATATTGCTAAATTACTTTCCTAGAGTTATGCCAATATACTAATATACTATAACTGTTTTGTTCATTGTGGTAAGAATGCTTAACATGAGATCTGCTCTCTTAAATATTAAAGTGTATGATACAGGATCATTAACCATAAGCACAGTCTTGTACATCCTATCTCTAGAACTTATTCACCTGCATAACTGAAACTTTATACCCATTGAATAGCAACTCCGCATTTCCTCCTCCCCGTGGCCTATAGCAACCACCATTTTATTCTCTGCTTCAGTGAGTTTGACTGTTTTGGATACATCGTAAGTGAAATAATGCAGTGTTTGTCCTTCTGTGACTGGCTTATTTCACATAGCATAATGTCCTACAGAGATATCCATATGGCAGGATTTCCTTCTTTTTTAGAAAAAGACTAAATAATATTCCCTTGTACGTACATACCACCTTTATCTATTCATTTGTAGATTAAGCATTAATTTGTTTCCATATCTTGGCTGGTGTAAATAATATTGCAGTAAGTATGTGAGTGTACATACCTCTTTGAGGTTCTGATTACAGTTCTTTTAGATAAATACCCAGAGGTGGGATTGCTGAATCATATGATATTTCTATTTTTAATTTTTTGAGGAACCTTTATACTGTTTTCCATAGTGGCTGCACCATTTTACATTCTCAGTAACAGTGTACAAGGGTACCAGTTCCTCCACATCCTCACCAACACCGGCTATCTTTTGTGGGGTTTTTTTTTTTTCTTCTTTTGATAATAGCTATCCTAACAGGTGTGATAATAGCTATCCTAACAGCTCATGAGGGTTTTAATTTGCATTTTCCTGATGATTCTTAGTATTGAGCATCTTTTCACATACCTGTTGGCAATTTGTATGCTGTCATTGGAGAAACGTCTATTCAGTTTCTTTGCCCACTTCTAAATTGGATTATTTGGTCTTATTGTTGTTGAGTTGTAAGAATTCCTTGTATTTTAGATACTAACCCCTCATCAGATAATATGGTTTGCAATTATTTTCTCCCCATTTTGTAGGTTGCCTTTTCACTCTGTTGATTTCTTTGCTATGCAGAAGCCTTATAGTTTATGTCCTACTGGTCTAGTTTTGCTTTTACTGCATGTGTTTTTGATGTCGTGTTCAAGAAATCATTGCCAAGACCACTGTCATGAACCTTTGCCCTATGTTTTGTTTTGTTTTGTTTTGTTTTAAGAAGTTTTACACTTTCAGGCTTCACATTTAGGTGTTTAATCCATTTTGAGCTGATTTTTGTGTATAGGTCTAATTTCTTTCTTAATCATGTGGATATCTCATTTTCCCAGCATTATTTGTTAAACAGACTGTCCTTTTCCCATTGTGTATTTTTGGCACTCTTGTTAAAAATCAGTTGACCCTATATTTGTGGGCTTATTTTTGGGCTCTCTGTTCTGTTCTCTTTGTCTATATGTCTTTATTCCATTACTGTACTGTTGGAATTACTATAGCTTTGTAATCTATTTTGAAATAGAAAAGTGTGATGCCTACAATTTTGTTCCTTCTCCTGATCATTTGACTCTTCAAAGTCTTCAGGGTTTCATACGAATTATAGGACTGTGTTTCTATTTCTGTAAAAAATGCCATTGGGATTTTGATATGGATTGCATTGAATGTGTAGATTCCTTTGGGTAGTGTCGACATGTTAACTATATTAAGTTTTCCAGTCCATAACCATAGGATATCTTTTCATTTATTTGTGTCTTTTAAAATTTCTTTTATCAATGTTTTATGATTTTTCAGTATACAAGTCTTTCATTACCTTACTAAGTTTATTCCTAAATAAATTTTGATGCCATTATAGATGAGATTGTTTTCTTAATTTCCCTTTGGGACAGTTTGTTGTTAGTATGTAGAAATGCAGCTGGTTTTTGTATGTTGATTTGGTATCTTTTAATTTTACTGAATTCCTTTATTAGTCCTAACAGCTTTTCTGTGGATTCTTAAAGTTTTTTACATATAAGATCATGTCATCTACAAAGACAGTTTTACTTCTTCCTTTTTGGTGCTTCTTTTTTTTTTTTTTTTTTTCTTGCCTAATTGATCTGGTAAGGACTTCTAGCTCTGTGTCGAATAGAAGTGGTGAGAGTGGGCATCCTTGCCTTTTTCCTTATCTCAACACTGTTAGTTTTTCATTACAGGGTTGATGTCAGCTATGAGGTTTCATATATGCCTTTATTGTCTTAAGGAAATTTTCTTCTATTCCAAGTTCATGGAGAGCTTTTGTCATGAAAGGATATCAAATTTTGTCAAATTTTTTTTTCTGTAGCTGTTGAAATGGTCATGTGATTTTTTTTTTTAAATCTGTCATTCTGCTACTGTGGTATGTCACATCTATAAACTTGTGTATGTTGAACCATTCTTGGATCCCTGGAATAAATCTCATTTGTTCCCTTAATATACTGTTGAATTCAGGTAGCTAGTATTTTGTTGAGTATTTTTGCATCTGTCTTCATCAGGGTTATTGGCCTATAGTTTGCTTGTCTTGGCTGGCCATGTCTTAGGCTATGGGATAAGGGTAACACTGCTTCGAAATTTGAGTGCGGGAGTGTTCAGTTTCACGGAAGAGTTTGAGAAGGATTGGAATTAATTCTTCTTTAAATGTTTGGTGGAGTTCACCAGTGAAGCCATCTGGTCCTGGGCTTCTCTTTTGGGGGATTTTTTAAAATTCCTGATTCAATCTCGTTACTATTTAAAAGTGTATTTAGATTTTTTAATCTCTTCATGATTCAATATTAGTATGTTTTTGTTTTTGTTTTTTTCCTTTTTTTGGTTAGTCTTACAAAAGGTTTGTCAATTTTGTATTTAAAAAAAAAGAACTTTATTTAGTTTTTCCCCAGTGTTTTTATATTCTCTTTTTTCCTGCTCTGATCATTATTACTTCCTTGTACTAACTTTATGCCATGTTCTTCTTTTTCTTGCTCTTTGGAGGTATAATGTTTTGCTTGCCTGCCTGCCTTCCTGCCTGCCTGCTTTCCTTCCTTCCTTCCTTCCTTCCTTCCTTCCTTCCTTCCTTCCTTCCATCTGTCCATCCATCTATCCCTCTGTCATTCTTTCCTTCTTTCTTCCTTCCTCCTTTCTCCTCTTCTTCTTTTCTTCTTTCTTCTACTTTTTGAGACAGGACATCACTCTGTTCCCAGGCTAGAGTGCCATGGCATAATCATGGCCTACTGCAGCCTTGATCCCCTGGACCCAGGTGATCCTTCCACCTCAACCTCCCGAGTAGCTGGGACCACAGGCACATGCCACCATGCCCACCTAATTTTGTTATTATTATATGTAGAGATGGGGTCTTTCTATGTTTCCCAGGCTCGTCTTGAACTTCTGGGCTCAAGCAATTCTCCTTCCTTGGCCTCCTTAAGTACTGGGATTACAGGCATGAGCTTGTAATCCATACTTGGCCTTTTTCTTTATTTTTAATGTAGGCATATATAACTATAAATTTTCCTCTTAGTACTGCTTTTGCTGCATCTCGTAAGTTTTGGTATGTTGTGTTTTTGTTTTTATATGTCTCAAGATATTTTATAATTTCCCTGTAAGGAAAGCAAAAAGTCTTTTTCTTTACTCATTTTAGGTTTTTCAGCAGGGACCTTATAAATTAGACTGGCCAAAGACAGATTAACAACAGAAAAACAGAAGTTTATTAGCATGTGCATGATGCATGTACACTTGGGAGCACACAGCTGTGAGTAACCTAAGTGGTTGATTAGAATTTGAGCTTAAGTACTGTCTTAGACTAAAACGAAGGAGTGGAGGCTTGGGGCTTTGGGGTTGGGTAAACAAGTTATGGGAAAGTGACCAGGAAAAGTATAATAAACAAGGGTTGTTTAGTAAGGTTTTGTATGCACATTTAAGTTGATGTCTTCTCCATTGATAAGAGTTAGGAGTCATCATATCCCTACTGGGATAGAGGGAAATATCTCTACAAATGAAATTTCCTATATAAATATAAATTTCCTTTACAAAAAGAAAATTTGTGCCCCAATTTTAGAGCTTCATATTGAGTCTGCAGATTCTCAGTGGCATTTGGCTCAAAATCCATAAAATAAAGATTATTTGGGGTAACATATTCAGACCCATTTGTGAGTTGTTAAAGACCCATTCATTGGTTGTTTAAGAGTATATTGTTTAAATTCCACATATTTGTGAATTATCTTGTATTCTCTCTGCTGTTGATTTCTATTTTAATCCTGTGGTTGTCAGAATAAATACTTGGTGTCATTTCAGTCTTCTTAAATTCATTAAGACTTGTTTTGGGACGTATCCTGGAGCATGTTTCATGTGCATTTCTGCTGCTGTGAGGTGAAATGTGCTCTATATGTCTGTTAGGTCCATTTGGTCTATCATGTTTTTAAAGTCCTCTGTTTCTTATTGATTTTCTGTCTGGTTGTTCTAGCCATTATTGACAGTGGGGAATCCAGATTTCCTCCTACTATTGTATTGTGTTTATTGCTCTCTCCAGTTCTGTCATTGTGTGCTTTATGTATTTAGATGACCAGATATTGGGTGCATATGTATTTATAATTATTATATCTTCCTAGTGAAATGACCCTTTTATCATTATATAATGTTGTTCTTTGTAACTCTATTTTAATATTCACATATTGCTATTTATACCTGTCTACGTTTCATATTTCTAGAGTTTTCATTGCTACATTTGGAAGCACATGTCTAATATTCCTCTTCAGAGTATACACTAGATGAAAGATGAGGGATTGTCTGACCATGGATCTAGAAAGGAATAGTTCAGCTATAGGTGAAGGTGGTTCTAAACTCATGACTATGTACAATGTAGTCTTTAAGTAGTAGCATAAGTTCAAGGCAATTTTTGTCTCCAGGTGTCTCTTCTGTTGGCCAAATTTAACATCTCAAGTAGTCCTTTAGATGAAAGGTAACTGCAGACCTCACCAGGCTTTTTTTTTTTTTTTTTTTTTTTTTTTTTAGAGATGGGGTCTTGCTATGTTGCCCAGGGTGATCTCAAACTCCTGGGCTCAAGCGTTCCTCCCACCTCAGCCTCCCAAAGTGCTGGGATTTCTGGTGTGAGCCACCACACCTGGCTGCTTGCTATTTAAAAGACATTTCCAAGCCAAGTTCAGTGGCTTATGCCTGAAATTCCAGCACTTTGGGAGGCTAAGGCATGAGGATCATTTGAGCCCAGGAGTTTGAGACCAGCCTGGGTAACATAGTGAGACCCATCTCTACCAAAAATTAGCTGGATATAGTGTCACGTGCCTGTAGTCCCAGCTACTCGGAAGGCTGGGGTGAGAGGATCTTTTGAGCCCAGGCAGTCAAGGCTACAGGGATCTGTGATTGCACCACTGGACTGCAGCCTGGGAGACAGAGCAAGACCCTGAGACACACAGACACAAAGACAGACAGACAGACAGACAGGTCATTTAGGTAGGGTTAAGTCTTCATGAGCATTTAAATACAAATTAGCATTTTATTCAGATGGGCTTAATAGGTCAGATAATGAATGGATTCTGATGGGTGGGGGCTGGCTTATCATTTGTGGCTTAGAGTTGGAACTGGGTAAACCCTACTAAAAACCTGTTTTTGGAGTGTTTGGCAGTTTGGGAAGAGCCTCTGAGCTCTGTGTTCCTGGGTAAACAGAGTACCAAGAGGTTGAAATATAAATATGGAGATGAAACATTGAAAGAAACAACGTTATTAATATCTTGCATAATTTCAAAACTAACAAAAAAGCATCATTAGAAAGACTAATTTCTCTTAGTGAACGCTTGCAGTTAAAATTAAGTGATCTGCATTTGTTGATAAAAGTCAGTAATAAACAGCTTTGGCTGAATACTTTGAAGCTATTTCTTCAGTATCCAGGCAAGCACTCAGTTCCTTTTTTAAATAAAGGTTCATGTTATTTCACCAAATTAAATCAATATTTTATCCATTACCTCCATATTGACATAAGGAAGAAAACCTAATTAAATTATCAAAATTTGTTGGGAACTCTAATGGTAAAAATAATCATAATTACAAAATTTTCTACCCATTTGTATCTAATGGAGGAAGTCTCTTTATTCTAACATGTATTCTAATGATGAGAAAAGCTCCTCACGGTTAGGCAAAGTAATCAGCCTGACCACTGCCACAACCCTTATAGTCACTCACTGAACATTGACAAGATTGTTCTGTCCAGAAGGCGTATATGACAAGTGCAAATAAAGGAGTTTAAAGACTGTCACCATTAGCTAATTACCACTGGGACAGAATCTAAAGTAGTGCATTTGAAAACTCTGAAACAGATTGGATTTATTATAAATTAATGACATAGGATGTTCATCAATTATTAAGCTTTGTTGAAATACACTGAATGTTATACACAGGTTTTATAGCCAATAGGCCAAGAGCTGCCATCAGAATGTTTTGAAATTATACCCATGAGAAAAATAGAAAAGTTTTCTCTCCATTCATTTTGAGTGGCGTATTAGTCTTAGCATGGGGGAACATATAACTTTTCCCAAGTTCTCAGTTAGGAAGAGAACTTGTGACAAAAGTCAGATTAACAAGAGAAAACTAACAGAAGTTTGTTAACATACATACTTCATGTATGCTTGAGAGATGCCTAGATAATACCTACTGAGTCTCCAGAGTACAGGCATACCTTGTAGATAATTTGGATTCAGTTCCAGACCACTGCAATGAAGTGAACTTCACAAGGCAGTCACACTAATTTTTTGGTTTCCCAGTGCATATAAAAGTTATATTTACACTATATTATAGTACATTAAGTGAGCATTATATCTAAAAAAACAACCTACATATTTTCATTAAAAATACTGGCTGGGCATGGTGGCTCATACCTGTAATGCCAGCACTTTGGAAAGCCGAGGAGGGCAGATCACTTGAGGTCAGGAGTTTGAGACCAGCCTGGCCAACATGGTGAAACCCTGTCTCAACTAAAAATAGAAAAATAAGCTGAGCGTGGTGGTGTGCACCTGTAATCATAGCTACTTGGGAGGCTGAGGAATGACAGTCTTGAACCTGGGAGGTGGAGGGTGCAGTGAGCCAAGATCATGCCACTGTATTCCATCCATCCTGGGTGACAGAGGGAAAAAAAAAAACAAAAAAAAAAAAACTTTATTGCTAAAAAGTGCTGATGATCATTTGAGCCTTTAGAGAGTCATAAACATTAAGATGGCAGTGAAGTTGGTTGCATCAATGGACTCTTCCTTTTATTTCTCTGCAGCATGCAATGCTGTTTGATAGCTTTTTAAAATTGATAGCTTCTTTCAAAATTGGGGTCTGTTCCTCTCTAAGTTTGTGTAATATTCTAAATCCTTTGTCATTTCAACAGCCTTCTTAGTATCTTCACCAGTAGCTTTCATCTTAAGAAACCACTTACTTTGTTCATCCATAAGAAGCAGCTCCTCATCCATTCAAGTTTTATTATGAGATTGCAGCAATTCAGCATTTAGATTCCCCTTCTAATTCTAGTTCTCTTGCTGTTTTCTACTACAGCTGCAGTTACTAACCTCCACTGAAGTCTAGATCCCCTCAATTATCCATGAGGTTTGGAATCATCATCTTCTCAACTCCTGTAAATGTTGGCATTTTGACCTCCTTCTCCGATGCATCGAAGTATTCCTAATGGTATTTAGAATGCAGAATCCTTTCCAGAAGGTTTTTAATTTACTTTGCTCAGCTCCATCAGGGGAATCACTATTTATGGTAGCTATAGCCTTAAGAAATTTACTTCTTAAATAAGACTTGCGAGTCAGAGTTACTTCCTGATCCATGGTCTGCGGTATAGGTTGTTGTGATAGCAGGCATGGAAACAACATTCATCTCCTGGCACATCTCAATCAGAGCTCTTGGGTGACCTGATGCATCATCAATGAACAGTAATATTTTGAAAAAAATATTTTCTTCTGAATAGCAGGTCTCAACAGTGGACTTAAAATATTGAGTAAACCATGCTGTCAACAGATGTGCTGTTATCCAGCTTTCTTGTTCCTTTTATAGAGGACAGGCAGAGTAGATTCAGCAAAATGCCATAAAGGGAAGTGCAATTAAAGGTATGCCTGTAAATGTCTAGTAGATGGCTTTAATACATGTCTGCAGAAACAAAGGAGTTGTAGAGAAAACCTGTTTCAGAGAGATGATCAGGTGTTTAGGTGTCTAAACAAGAGTAAGGTTTGTTGCACAGATTTAAGTAGGTGCGTTCTCCATTGATAAGCGTTTCTAGTTTAGATTTAGAGCCATCCCTTCCTTTCTGGTACAGAGATGGAGACACCTTTATGGATGTAAATTTCTCTTACAAAAGGGTAACTTATTTTCTATTTTCAGAGCTTTTCCAGTTTCTGCTGTTTCTCAAAATCCTTATGCCAGAAGGGTATATTTGGGGTACCAAATTTTTGTCTTCTACAGTCATATTTTGAGGTAGAATTCCCTGAGCCCCGTCAGCAGTGACCTTCAAAAAACAGAACATTGATTTTTATGGTATTCGGTGTCTCCTCTTCCCAGAAATGTTATCTACTTTCTATAAAAAGTGTGGTATATCTTTTTAAAGAATAAAGAGTTATTCTTTTTAATTAATAACCTTTAAAGAAATGATAATTTAGTGTTTGAGAAGCTTATTTTATTCTGAAGTACTATATTATTTGCATTTTAGTATTTTAATATTAAAATTTAAATATTTAATCTGGTAGAAATATTCTGTGCTGGGAATTCTGTTTAAAAATTCAGTTAAAAAATCTACATTTATGATTATTGTTAGTGGGAAATTGCTATTTTAAAACATGTGAAGAAATCTTGGAAATGTTTGGATTCTAATTTGTTTTAGTTAGTTATAACTTTTCTACTTAGAATTGTGTTGGTGAAAGGATAAAAGACTTATTAAACAGAAGCCAAATAGAATTTTTTTTTTTTTTTTTTTTTTTTTTGAGATGGAATTTTGCTCTTGTCACCTAGGCCGGAGTGCAGCAACATAATCTTGGCTCTGCCTCCAGGTTCCAACTATTCCCCTGCTTCAGCCTTCTGAGTAGCTGGGATTGCAAGCATGCACCTCCACACCTAGCTAATTGTGTATTTTTAGTAGAGATAGGTTTTCACCATGTTGGCCACTGTTGGTCTCGAACTCCCAAAGTGCTGGGATTACAGATGTGAGCCACCATGCCTGGCCTGCAAATGGAATTTTAAACACTTGCCTTTATTGAGGTTCCTTTGTTGTATTATTTCAAGAACTGTGTTCTTCCCTCTCAGAGGCCTTAACCCAGTTGCTTATGTAAGTTCATTAGTGCCATCCTTGGCTAATGCTCGCATCCCTGTGGGCAGAGCCCCTGCATACTTCTGTCCCCCTTTAAATTAAGTTTAGCCTAAAGCTGGCTCCTTACATATTTTAAGTTTGGCTAAATATCTCCTGGTACATAGTAAACTGTGACTTAATTGGATGTCTAGACAGATGTTAGGCAGACCCAATCTCTCAGCAATCACCAAGTATCAGCCAATCACAGCAGACAGTTGTTCAAACAATGTTCAAATAAGGCAGATGCAGGGCTATGACCAATCCGGCTGTTTCTACACCTCACTCCCATTTTCTGTGTATCAATTTCCTTTTTCTTTGCATAAATCTTCAACCATATGGTAGCACGGAGTGACTCTGAATTTCTTCTGGTTTGGGGAACTGGACGATTCTCAAATTGTTCTTTGCTCAGTTAAACTTTGTTAAATTTAAATTGCCTTAAATTTAAATTTAAATTTCCCCACCTGAACACAGCTTTTGTGTCCCTGGTACCTAGAATATTGTATGCAGGCATGCTTTAAGTGGGGAACAGATGCATTGATGGATGGGGGAAGGATTCTTCTAGTCATTCTAACAGTACATGAGGCTTTTTCAAAGATAATAAAATATTAATAGTTTCTTTTCTCCCCTTTCTCGGCAACTGATAGAAAGGATTGCTTTATTACTTTCTCTTCTTTTTCATTCTGGATGTTGTATCTCTCAGGCATTGCTATAATGCCGTTTTGTAGAATGGGAGTCCTTTGTAAGAATTCATAGTCATTAACCATAGCCTTTTAAAAGGCAAGACTCATGATAGAAGGGTTGTTGTTTTTTTTTTTTTTAATAATCATGTTGCTAAAAGGACCTTATTGCAAGTTAGTTTCATACGTAATGTTTTTCCTGCACAGACACCAGAGCATTGTTACCTGATTCCCAGGACGGACTTATACTCCTTCAGAGTCTTTAAGCAGCTTCTTATTTCTAACTGCTTGAGCATGCTTGATTTTTGGGAAAAGTTGGCATTTTAATATTATGGTATTTTAGCAGCACGGTGTCATATGAAGTCATTGCCTAAGAAAAGTTTTAGGTGATGACTCAGAATAAACTGATACTGATACAAGAGGTTTTTTTCTTAACTTTACCAAGTACCTGACATTATTTTGGAAAGAACACCCACTTATTCAGACAATCATTGGAGACTTTAAATTTTTCCTTAAGTATTACAGTTTAACGTGTATTATCATAAAGTGTAAATCTTAATTCAAATAACATTAAAACTTTTTTCCTGTTTTTTTGAAAAATTTGTGATACTCTTCATTGTTCTAAAATTGTTTACAAGAACACCTAAAGGATAATGCAGTACCATAAATTAGAAATGTTTGAGAAAGAAAAAAAGATGAACCAAAAGTTCGAAGATAAAATGGAACGGGAAATAATGCGCTTCCAAAGGCAAGTCCTTTGAGTGGATCACAATCTGCCCCTAAGCTTTCAAACTGCAGTTACAAATGGGAAGCCTTGCCAGATGTTCAACTCACTTAAGAGAAAAGGAATCTGTTACTTAGAATACAATTATTCTCAATACTATCACTGTAAAGTAATTTCTATGTAATGTTCAGATGTAACCTCAGCAATATCTAAGCAAGAGACACAACAAGTTTTGGGGGGATGAGTTTCATGTTTCTTAGATTAAACCTCAGTAGAGGTTGGTATTGTTAATACCATGATACAGATTGAAAAGGATAGTCTCTTTGCATATAGAAATAGAATACATTCCAGTGGCTGCTTGTGAAGTTGTATAACTTACCCATGGACTTAGGATGTCAGCGGAGACAAATTTTATACCCAAAAATGTTTGTGGGGGAGATGTTTTTGTTTAAAATAATTTGGTCATTACCGTATAAATGCTTAAATTAAAAAAAAAATTATCCTTGACTGTTCTGTGTAGAAATTATTAATAAAACATTGAAAGCAGACTGAGCATTCAATGTTACAACACTGACTTTTTCAAATATGGGTGTCTGGTATGCTAACGTTGTTGATTAGCCTTAAAAGCAGATTGTGATATTGTGAAATATGTATTTGTTCTTTGTTCTCATTTTTTTTTCTGGCATGCAAACTCCTGAAATTCTTGGAATCTCTAAAGTGATGTGTGTTTTTGTATGCGAATGAGATTCCTGGTGGCATCAGCCCCTAAGTAGTCTCAGGTTGGAGCTGGTCACAGGAAAGACTAAGGCAGGATTTTCAACCCCACTCCCACCTCCCCAACTTCTTGGTTGGAGAGAAGGGGTGAAGGTTATCACCATTAG